CTGTCCTGGAACTCCCTCTGTAGACCAGGCTGGCCTCGAACTCACAGAGATTCTCCTGCCTCTGCCTCCCGAGTGCTGGGATTAAAGGCATGTGCCACCAATGCCTGGCTGCAGAATTGTATTTATAATTACATTAAATTGCTTGATATTTCAAAAAGTATCTATTTTCTCCTCTTTCCTTAAATAATTAGAAGAATTAGCAGTGTTGAAGATGGAGTTTTTAAAATACAATGATTTTCACTGGTTTATTTTACATAAAAATAAACCCCCTTGATGTAATCTCATTGCAAACTAATACAAAAGACTTACAGTTTGCACAAGTCATTTTGGAAAGACAGAAATATTTTGTAGTAAATGCCTTAATCTTAGCAGTTGCTGGAGGATATGGCAACTGTATGATGGACCCACACCTCTTATCCGTGGCAGAGGAAGCTAAGCCTCCCTCAAAGTTGCTGCTTCTCCATAGCTGAATCTTACTAGAGTCAGATGGGCAGCCCCCGGGCTTCCTGATTGGGTATCTAAGTTATACCAGTTGTGAAAATGGCACCACCAGTTCTAAAAGGTACTTCCCTACTGGGCTATGTTGTTAGCGTCAAGTGCTTCCTGAGTTCCTGTTCCATCTGTATGGATACAGAAGTGTCAGTGTTCTGGGGAACACTGTAATAACAAAAGAAAGATGCACGTAAAAAACAGAAAAGAACAAAGAACATTACAGTACTTAATACAGTGGTGGAAATCCACCTGTGGAGTCCAGACACCTCAACCATGTGACTTGAAACAGCTGTTTAATTTTCTCTTCTGTGACACACCAGCACTCAGGATGCTGAGGCAGGAGGATTGTCACAATTTTGAGGCTAGCCCAGGCTCAAGGAGTTCCAGGCCAGCCAAACTACAAAATGATACCCTGCCTCAATAACCCAAAATATATAGAGGTAGATATAGTTTATAAACTGTGTTATCTGAACTAAAAGGTTATGTATATGAAAATATTTGAACACTATGAAAATGTTATACAAAGGTAAATATACTATGAGCATATTCTAGCCAAAAACCTAAGTATACATAAGACTATTTACAATGTTTTCTTTCTTTTTTGGGAGGGAGAATTTCCCATCATGCACCCCAATCCCACTCATTTCCCGGTCCCCATGTCTACCCTCCCTCCTCCCCCCAAAGAAGAAAAAGAAAAGCTCCTCACTCTTCCACCTTTCCCACCTCTCTAGCATATGTTCTTTGGTCGTAGGGGCCTTGAGAGTTTTGCTGTGTCATGCAGGATACCTTTTCCCCAAACAGCTTTTCTTGCAAATGTTCATTGCAGTGGGGTTGTTGATCTGATTCAAGGCCTCTGGCTTCTGGTAAGCCATCAATACTGTATCCTCACCAAGAAGCTCCTCTTTGATATCTTGTTGCTATCCTGAGTTATGGAGATCATGCAGCTATGGTTCTACAGGACCAGTCCCTTCATGTGCTCCAGCAGGTCATAGATGGGTAGATGTTGGGGTGGGCAAACTCAAAGCCCTGGATATGGGCCTGGGTCACAGCTGAGTTGGTCAGTCGAGGCCTCCACTGGGACAAGGATGAGAGCTAGCTCTCCTGGGCCCAAACCATTGGGTCCAGCTCTCCCACGAACACGGTGAGGGGCAGGGCCAGCTCACCGTGTATGGAGCCAATTCTCCATTGTGGGAAGCTGACGAGGGACAGTTCTCTCAGGGCTATCAAGGATCATCTCTCCTGTGTGCACACCACTGGGGCCAGTTTTCCCAGAATGGAGAGAGGCAGCTCTTCCACTGAGGTGACCTGTGACTGGTGATGGGTGGGTCCAGTGCCCAGGCCACTGGGGCCAGCATTCCCATGGCCCCTGGTGGTAAAATGGGCCATGGACATCAACGCAGACTCAGGCTGCATTAGAGTGATGGACCCAGACATCCAGGTCAGACCTGGTGTCATTTGGCCCCAGGTGGTAGTGTAAGCCACTGTTTCTCACTGCCTTTGTGTCTTCTGTTCCACTTCTCCCCACAATGGACAATCCACTCTGTTTCTTCTTCTCTCCACCACTTACCTGTTCATCACAGAGGCGCCTGTCAGCCCAGGGCATGAGGTGCTGGGAAGGCTAGTGGCTGCCTTCTGCCTACCTGGGGATACAATGTTTCCAAAGCCAGTCTGTGATTAAGTGCCAGAAAGTGAGTGCTACTGGGGCTGGAGACATGGTTCGGCAGTTAAAAGCGAGTCTTGCTCTTTCAGAGGACCTGACTTTGGTTCCCAGCCCTGTTAGGTAGCTCATGACTTCCTCTAACTCCAGCTTCAGGGGATCCAATACCTTCATGTGGCCTCCATGGGTACCTGCACACATCCAAAAATAAAAATAAATCTTTAAAATTGTTGAAATACTAGTAATTTTTAAAAAGTTGCTGCAGCATTTCAAGGTATATGTTACAATGTCAGGAAACTATAATACTAGTTGATAAAACTTGCTCAGGAATCTGAATTCAAGATAACTCTTGACGTGGGTTAAGATTTAATGAGATAAAAGAGTCAAAGTATGGAGCTTAAAAATAAATTTGTCTTAGCTGAACATGGTGGTACACATCTTTAATCCTAGCACTTGGTAGGCAGAAGTAGATAGATTTCTGTGAGTTCAAGGCAAACCAGGGCTATGGAGAGACTATGCATCAAAGAAAGAAAAGGTTGTCTTGCTCTAGACAAGTCTGGTGAAAAATTGTTACATCTTGAACACTTGCTAAAAAATACAACTTGTATTCTTTAAAAGTATAATTTAGTGACTGACTCAGGATATTCCCAAAGTGCATGGATCATGTGCCTGACTTCATTTTCATTACTAGAAAAAGGAGAACCATGCCTACTTATATGTATCTTTAACCTAGCCTTTGACCACTATAAATATACCTTCTGTCTTAGGAATTTGCCAATTCTAGATATTTCATATAATTGGAACCACAGGGGATAGAGAGATGATGGCTCAGCAGTTAAGACTTAAAGCTCTTACAGAGGACCAAGTTCAGTTCCCAGCACTCATAATAGACTGCTCACAAGTGGCTGTGTCTCCAGCTCCAGGGGATCTAATGCCCTCTTCTTGACTCCATGGATTCTAGCATTCACACGCATGCACACACCGCTGTCTTGGCTTACTTGTTATTGCTGTGATCAAAAGCAAATTGAAAAAGGAAGGGTTTATCTTTGGCTTATGTGTTCTGATCACAGTACATCATGAAAGGAAGTCAAGGCATGAACTCTAGCTAGGAACCCAGAAGTAAGAACTAAAGTAGAAGCCATGGAGGATCACTGTTTCATGACTTGTCCCCCATAGCTTGCTCAGTTTGCTTTTTTTATATAACTCAGGACTAGGGTACCTAGGGGGTGCCACCACCCACAGTGGGCTGGGCCCACCCGTGTCAGTTATTAATTTTTAAAAAATATATCCCACAGATTGCCTGAAGGCCAATCTTACAGTGAAGATATTTCCTAAATTAAGATCCCCTCCTTCCAAATGACCCTAGCTTGTGTGTCAGATTGACAAAAGACTAACTGTACATTCAGACATACATCCACATAATTTAAAATAGATTTTTTAATGGAACCCTGTGCATATAACCTTTTCCATTTGATTTCTTTAATTGAGCATGTACTTAGTTTATAGCATGTTATCAGAACTTTTATTTTTGAGATTGGATAATATTTCATTATATGAATATGCCATTTTTGCTTATGTAATCACATGGTTATTAAATTATTTTCATTTTGAGGGTAATATGAATAATGCTTTATAAGTGTTTTTAATACAGTTTTGTATGGACACAAGTTTTAGTTCTTTTACGTGTACACCCAGCAGTAGGATTGCTGGACATACGGTAATTCTGTGTTTAATTTTTTGAGAAGATGTAGACTCTTTGCAAAATTCCTATATGCCATATTATATTACCACAACAAGTGAATGAGCTTCCCAATTTCTCCTCATCCTTCTTATTGCCTGTCTTGGATTGCAGCTAGTACGAGTAAAATGGTATCTTATTGCAGTTTAGATTTGTTAGTGGTAAATGATGTTAAACATCTTGAATTGTGTTTGCTTAGTAAACTGTTAAATATTTACCAAGGTTCTTTCCTGCATCCTAGCCTCATGAGGGGACAAATCAGGAAAGAAGTCCTCACTACCTTTTTCTACTTCATAGTATACTATTAACTGGATCTTACTTCTATAAATTACAATATATTTCCTACAGTATCTTGGTGGTGTTATAAAATATGAAGTTTAAATAAAAACTGGTGATATATTATTTATGATTTATTAAAGCTTGCCTGATGATTCAGAAGGCAAAGTCAGCCACAAGCTATAGAGGTCAGGTTGTGGTGATACACACCTTGAATCCCAGCAGCCATACAAGATAGCCATAGAAGCCAGGCAGTGGTGGCACACACCTTTAGTACCAGGACTCAGGAGACAAAGGCAGATGGATCTCTCTGAGTTCAAGACTGCCCAGGGCTATACAAGATTGAATCAGTCTAAAAGAGAAACAGAGCTCACACATTTAATCCCAGGACTCATGAGAAGTATTTAAGACAGAAACAGGGTCTCAGAGTTGGTATTCATTCTCCAACCACATTAAGAATAGAAAGGCATTCATTCTCTCCAGCCACGCTAAGGAGAGGCAGCAATCTGAGGTTTGGTGAGAGCTCGTGGAGACAGGATCACCCCTTTCAGCCTGAGGTAGTGGTAAGAACTAGTGCTTGGCTGCTCTGCTTTTTTGGGTCTTCAGCTTGAAGCTTGAACCCTAATATCTGTCTCTGGGTCTTTTATTTTTCATGTTACAGAAGACCATGTCCAAAATAACAAAGTTCAGATCAACTTTTGATTATTGATTGTGTCTGTAATTGAGTGTTTCTTAGATATACTTCCATCAGCCTGAAGAAGATAAGTCATTTTTACAGTGTATCTGTAAATGTTGAAATGCATTTAGAGTTGACATCTCTTCTTTCCCTGCCCTTAGGGTTGTTATATTATGCAGGGCATGGTTATGAAAACTTTGGGAACAGTTTTATGGTCCCTGTTGATGCTCCAAATCCATATAGGTCTGAAAATTGCCTGTGCGTACAAAACATACTGAAATTGATGCAAGAAAAGGAAACCGGACTCAATGTGTTCCTGTTGGATATGTGTCGGAAAAGGTAAAATTTCTGATATCTATAAAGCTGTTGTTGGAATCAATTGTCAACCTTAACAAATTCAACCTAAGGCAATTCCATAAAGTGCTAAGAACCAGTTGGAATTGTATATTTCTGAAAGCAGACTTAATATATTTTCATTATGGGTATCTAATTCTTTTAACTTATTTTCTGTTTACTGTAGAAGGGACTAAAAGGTACAAGCTATATACTTGTACCACAAAGTATCGGCTCTCTAGAATGTGTATATATGTTACTAGTAGTCACTGAAATTATTCTCCAGCAATTAACAATCACACCTGTGGATTTAGACTAGGTAGTCACCAGTCTGTCTTGTAAAAAATGTGGAAAGTATAGTTGAGTAGATTTTGGAAGCCTTTTGTTGTTGTTGTTTTTGTTTTTCGAGACATGGTTTCTCTGTGGCATTGGAGGCTGTCCTGGAACCAGCTCTTGTAGACGAGGCTGGGCTCGAACTCACAGAGATCCCCCTGCCTCTGCCTCCTGAGTGCTGGGATTAAAGGTGTGCGCCACCACCGCCCGACTGATTTTGGAAGTCTTAAATCTGTTTGTCTGCCTTTGTGTTCCCTGTGGATCAGAACCAATGATTATTCCTCTCCAATCTTTTTGCTTATGAGTCAGAATTCAATGAGGGAGTTCAGACACAACTTCATTTCTAAAGCTAACAAAAAAAAAAAAACAGGTGTGAACTGACTTTAATTGCAGAACTCAGGAGGCAGAAGCATGTGGATCTTTGTGAGTTCAAAGCCAGCCTGGTCTACGTAGCAAGTTCCAGGCCAGCCAGGGCTGCATAGTGAGACCAAAAACTAAAAGTCAGGTATAGCAGTGTTCTAGTGATCAGGAGACTGAGAGTGGGAGGATCTTGAGTTTGAGACTAGCGCACACTACACAGTAAGATCCTAGCAAAAAAAGAAAGAAACAGCAAAAGATGTGATGACTATTTGCTATCTTCATAATGTGGGAGCCTGGGTTGTTCTTGGTTTGTATGTAGCTGTCTAAGTAAAAGAATTTGAATCTATCATTTTATGTGTACTAAAGTAGTGTATTTTTCATTGACAAATACTGTAATTTCTCATACTTGTATCTGTCCTTTTCTCCTTCCCATGCATATAAATAGAAATGACTATGATGATACCATTCCAATCTTGGATGCACTGAAAGTCACTGCCAATATTGTGTTTGGATATGCCACGTAAGAAAACTTTATATTCAGTTTTCTTTATTCTTGTATGTCTTTGTTCTGATTGTCAATTAGAGACACAAATATCCATGGGCATCCAGGCATAAATTTGCCTTCTTGATGTGCCCGATAGAAAGCTTCCGCTGTGCGCTTCGGTCTCTGTGCCTTCTCACTGGGCAGCAGAACCTTCACTTTCGCCTCAAGCTCAGTCCTAGTTGGGAAGCCACTGAAAGGCAGATGAAAGAGGGGAGCTTTTCTGTAGGTATGGATACCCCACTAGCAAACACTGGCTGTTTCTTTTCTCGAATAGTGACAAATTATGAGCAGATACATTTGTGGGGTACAGGGTGCTACAATATGCACAGCATGGAATGGTCGTATGAAGCCCATTGGTATTCCAGTTACTTTCATGCCCGTTTACTTCCCCTGTCTGAGAGAAAGAAGCATTTTGCCCTGGCCAGCATCTCCCTCCCACCCCCTTCCCAGCCTCTGGCACCACCACTCTGCCTTTGGCATCTGTTGTGTGTTTAGTTTTGTCAGTGAACATGCAGTTTTGTTGTTCTGTGGGCCTGGCTAAGTTCACCTTTTTCTCTTGGTGTTTCTAAGGTGCCAAGGAGCAGAGGCTTTTGAAATCCAGCATTCCGGATTGGCGAATGGGATTTTTATGAAATTTTTAAAAGATAGATTATTAGAAGACAAGAAAATAACTGTGTTACTGGATGAAGTTGCAGAAGGTAAAATTTTAAAAAGACCAATCCACTCAGGAAAGCCCAGCAGTGAAGAGAAACCCACTGTGCAGGTTTGAAATTACCATGTGCTGTAGGAAAGTGGCTTAATGTTGAGCAACGCCACTGCTACTCAGTCCTTCTCTTTCCTTGTTGTCTCAGTGAATGGCAGGTGCAGTGCTGAGATGGAATTCGGTCCTCAAAGCTCTGCCTTGTGTCAGCCTGATGCCTTGCTGCTGCCCAGTCCAGTTGTTAGGAAAGATAAAAGTGCACTGAGCAGTCTCTGCCAAGCAAAGCATCTTCCCCTACAGCTTACCTGAATTTTTCACTATTGTTAGCCATCCAGGTTTTTTTTATTTGGTTAAGTCTTCCTGTTTCTTTTTTATCCTCTTTTTTTGAAGTTCTTTGTATATCTTTCCTTTTTAGCTAATAAGAATTTACCTGTAAGAATCTTTAACATGTAGTCCTTGATTGTCCTGTGTAATTCCCAACATACTGATCTATCTTTGACTTGAGGTTACAGGAGGAAACCATCATGCCTATGTTAATTTTACTATTCATAGTATAATATGCAAAAGTAGGCTGGTGGTGGTGGTGGTGGTGGTGGTGCACACCTTTAATCCCAGCACTTGGGAGGCAGACACATTTTTTGTGAGTTTGAGGCTAGCCTCGTCTATAGAGCTATTTCCAGGGCTACACAGAGAAACCCTGTCTTGGGGGGAAAAATGCATACATACATATACATATACATATATGTTACTTCTTGTTTAAAAAAGAAATAATTGAAGAAAATGTGACATTTAATTTTAAATTTTCTCATGCATATGTTGTCATTTGACTTTCTACTGAAAGTGATTCTCTGCAGACTACAGACATAAAGTTAGCATGGCATCTCTCTTAAAAAGGGGACTGCATTCTAATTCTCCCCTAAAAATATAAACAAATAAATAACAGTTGTGGTACATCAGTTCATGTTCAGACTCAGCTACAGAGAGAGTAAGTTTGAGGTCAGCACATACAACATGAGACCCTATGTCAAGAAAGTAATAATTAGGAAACATGCTTTTAGGACTATATTTTTATGTGTTTGCTCACTGCTTTAAACTGCTTTGAACTATGCTTGGTACCTAGTAGGTACTGAGTAAACATTCGTTAACAGATGATATTGAGAAAAAAAGCCTGACTTATTAGGACATGCTTAACCTAAATTTGTTTGGTTTTATTTTGTTATTTTTTTAGACATGGTTTATCTATACTGTCTGGCTATCCTGGAGCTGGCAACATAGACCAGGCTGGCCTTGAATCACAGAGATCCTCCTGCCTCTGCCTCCAGAGTGCCAAGATTAAAGGTGTGCACCACCATGCCAGGCCTGAATATTTTAGATACAACAAAAGACCCAGTCTTTAGAAAGTGCTTACCTTCTTGTCTTTCAGATATGGGTAAATGCCACCTTACCAAAGGCAAGCAAGCGCTAGAGATCCGAAGCAGCTTGTCTGAAAAGAGAGCACTTACTGATCCAATCCAGGGGACAGCTTGCTCTGCAGAGTCTCTAGTGCGGAATCTACAGTGGGCCAAGGCTCATGGTATGCTGAAGTCTGTCTCCTGTGTGGCTTCCATCAGAAACTTACTTTTATTTTGTTTGTTTGTTTATTTGATTTGCTTTTTGAGACTGGGTCTCACTGTAGTCCTGTCAGGCCTGGAACTCACTATGTAAACCAGGCTGGCCTCAAACTCAAAAAGATCCACTTACTTCTGTTTCCTGGGTGCTGAGATTAAAGGTGTGTGCCACCATGTCCAGGTATAAACTTATTTTTAAAATCATAAGTCTTTTTTTATTCTGACTAAGCAGTTTTCTCCCGAGTTTTACAGTGAAATTGAGGTGGGGTGGGTGGCAGATATAGTGGTGTGTGCCTGTAATTCTAGCACTTGGAAGGCTGAGGCAGGAAGAGCATGAGTTCATGGTTAGTCTAAATACATGACAAGATGCTGCCTCAAAAGGACATGTGTTCACCTAGTAAGCAAGTCCAGAACTAATCTTTCAGTTGTATATACTGCACTGGTTTATGCTAGAAATAACAAACTATTTAATTTAGTATTTTACTATTAGCTAAAACAAATTTATTTGTTTGTTTGTTTTTGGTCTTTTGAGAAAGGCATCATTATGTAGCTTATGCTGGCCTAGAACTCCAAAAGTTAATCACATGTTTAATTCTTCTGTTCTAAAAGTGAGTTAAATTTTTATTTATGTGGGATGCAGACAAGCCTTTGGCTCCTCCACAGTGTGACTTGAAATGTGACTGTCAGGAGTCAGGAGGGGCCTGGATTCTACCATGTGCTCAGCTTGTCTAGAATTAAGAAACAGCCCTTATCTCATAGGCTAAGTTCACATAGCAGACAACACAGCTCATGACTGTTACTATCATGCTGTTTATGACACTTAATTGATGCGTGAAGTGGCAAAGGCAAGAAAAAGAAGATGAAGAGAAAAATCATATCTGTACCTTGATGACCTTCCAGTTTAAATGGTATAGTAAAAAATAAGCTTAAATTATTGCCTGAAGGAAAGGATTTTCTATGGCATTCCCCAGGTATCTACTCTGAGCCTTTTATCATAAAAAAAATTGAAAAACAATATATTTCTTGAACTTCTGTTTTTAAAAAAGTCTTTATAATACTTCATTCTCTTAAGTCTTATTTTTGGCAAATTAACATGTTAAGAGCACATTAAGGGTAAAGTGCTATAAATATATCATATTCTAGATAATTGCACAAATAACTAAAATTGAATGTCTTTTCCATATATACACACACACACACACATATATATATATATAAAACACACACACACACACACACACAAGAACAACACTGGGTGGTGATGGTATACACTTTTAATCCCAGCACTCAGGAGGCAGAAGCAGGCGGATCTCTCTGAGTTCAAGGCCAGTCTGGTCTACAAAGCTAGTTCCAGTACAGCCAAGGCTATGCAAAGAAACCCTGTCTTGAAAAAAAGAAAAGAAAAATATTAAGACTAAAAATACTGTAGATATTCAGGAGTAGCTGAATGACTAGTTAACAAATTATCATAGCCACTTGGTGAAATATATTTTGTAAAAATTCTTGTTTGGGTAAGAGGTCTTAGATTAATAGTAGAGTGCTTACCTAAAATGCACAAAACCCCAGGCTTTATCCTTCATACAACATCACGCCACACATGCAAGTCTTGCTGTAAAGACTGAATCATCAATAAAAATCTATGTATATTTTATTCCCACTGGAAAAACCATATATGTCGATGGCAAAAGGTTGGCTTTTGGTCTAATTGTGTGTATACATTTCAGCAGTAACATTACATAATATTTTTAAGCAAATGATCTAACCATATACTGCCCCATGTGGGTATTTGCTAACCATCAGAAAATTTACCAAGCAGTCTTTAAATGATATTATTATATGCTTTTTAACGTTCTTTTCCAGAACTTCCAGAGAGTATGTGCCTTCAATTTCAATGTGGTGTACATATTCAATTAGGATTTGCCGCAGAGTTCTCAAATGTCATGATAATCTACACAAGCATAGTCCACAAACCACCTGAGATAATAATGTGTGATGCCTATGTTACTGATTTCCCACTGGTAAGTCTCATTTCTTTTACTTAAAATAGACTGGCATGTTCTCATTTATTATTAAAGATGGAACTTTAACATGAGGGTGTACGTTAGGGATAGAGTACTTGTCTTACATGAGTAGGGTCCTGTGTTCCAGCCCCAGGACCAAAAGAAACAAGAAGTCACTTAAATAATAAACTTTTTAAATTATTTATTTATTTAACTTCATATGCATTGGTATTTTGCCTGCTTGTATCTCTGTGTGAGGGTGTCAGGTCCCTGTAATTCAAGCTGCCATGTGGGTACTGAGAAATGAACCCAGGTCTTCTGGAAGAGCAGTCAGTGCTCTTAGCCACTGAGCCATCTCTCCAGCCCCCAAATAATAAACTTTTAAAACCACAAAATTCAGTAAGTGTAAAGGAAGTGCTTATATGTGTGCTTACTTGTGTATAACACTTACCATAGTGTTTAATAATTGCCACAATACCTTAAGTGTGTCAAATTCAGAAGTGTCTAAAGTGCACTCAAGAAGGATGTCTGCAGTATCTTCAAATAGAATTTTAACTGTGAGAAGAATGAAATAGTATATGTACAAGGTGTGTGTGTGTATGAATGTCATGAGTAACCTTAATTACTTAATTACTTATGACTTGTTCATAAGTTTATTTTTGGTTTTTCAAGACAAGGTTTCTCTGAGTAGCCCTAGGCGTCCTAGAACTCACTTTGTTCTACTTGTCTCTGCCTCCCAGTGCTGGGATTAAAGGTATGCGCCACCACCACCCTCCTGAGTAACTTTATTTTAAAAGCTTTAGTACAGTCTAAGTTTTTATTACAACATGAATTTTACTTCTGGAACTGGAGAGATGGCTCAAAGGTTATGGGCACTTAGTGCTCTTGTAGAGGACCAGGGTTCAGCACCCATATTAGCCTACTCACAACCACCTATGACTCCAATTCCAGTGTATCCAACGTCCTCTGGCCTCCACAGGTACCCTCATGCATGTGATAATATATACTCACCCAAGCATACATACGAATAGCAACTTGTGAACTTAGATCACTTTTATGTCTCTTTAGTCCTGGATAAGAGATTACCTGTTCGAGCCATTGCTCATGAGAAAACTGTCTCTATGGAGATACTTTATGTTATAGACAATGTTATAAATTGCATTGATTGCATCATTGATGTTCACTGATTTGTGTTTTTTTATAGGACCTAGATATTGATCCAAAACATGCAAATAAGGGGACTCCCGAAGAAACTGGAAGCTATTTAGTATCAAAAGAGCTCCCCAAGCATTGCCTCTATACTAGACTCAGTTCACTACAAAAACTGAAGGTTACTACTTTTCCTGTTTATAGCAACTAATGAAAAAGCTGTGGACCAAAACTGATTGTGGCATAATCTATAGATGAGCTGCTTCATTTGGGTATTAAATTGGAGCAACAATAGCCAATCTACTGTGGGTCTTCTCAGTGATACTTTTGTCATTAAATTTTGTCCATGATACTGGCCTAGGGACTTATTTATGTCTTCTATGCTGTTGAGAAGTTAGGCACATGGTGGATATGTGATATATTTTTAAGTCATAATTTCTTCGTTGTGACTTTCTACAAAACACACAGCAAATTAAAGTTGGAATTGCTTTTTATTCCATTTCTTGTTGAGTGACAAATGATAAACTGCCTCTGTACAGTTCAGCTTTCTAACATAAGCATATCCTTGCAAAAAAAATTTGTATTTTTTTCTTAGCTACATGATTATAATGTAGTAAAAATTAGGTAAAGGAATGGACACTTGTTAAGAGGACAACAGACTATTTTTATTTATTCATATCTAGTCTGCTTCAACTATCCTCCCATTATCTGACTGAGTTACTATCTAGTTTTTTGCTAAAGCAGCTTAGGCTTTGAATGTCCTTGTAAATGATTTTCACATTACAGGCCCCTGTTTCTGGTTTGGGGGAAGGATGAGAGTCCAGTGCCTCACTGCTTGAGAAATGCCTTTCACAGTGCGTCAATCAGAAATGGGAAATCTCTGATTTATAACTTACTTTAGTAAGAACTAGAATTCTTTTAAACAGATAAGTATTGAATGATACAGCCCGCTTATTTGCTTTAGGGGTGTTGGAAAGGAACGTCAGAGAGAGAGCCGAGTGGGACTTTGTTGTGGGTAGGGAGTGGTACTTTAAGGTTTCCACAGTTAATAAACATGATAAACTCTTTTCATTTTTAGGAACATCTGATCTTCACGGTATGTTTATCCTATCAGTATTCAGGACTGGAAGACACTGTGGAGGAGAAGCAGGAAGTGAATGTTGGGAAGCCTCTTATTGCCAAGTTAGACATGCATCGAGGATTGGGCAGAAAGACTTGCTTTCAGGCTTGTGGTCTGCCTGATGAGCCTTATCACAGCTCCACGCCTACCTCAGGGGGAGTGGGGCATTTTCCTTCATCTCAGGACTCGTTCCAGGATGTGTACCATTCACATCTTGGTAATTCAGACAGTGGTATGCCACCAGACAGGTGTCATTGCAGCCGGACTCCACATGCATTTATTTCAAGCTATCCCACCCACCATTACTCCTGCCAGTTTGGTAGAAGTAATGTGCCGGTAGAGACAACTGATGAAATGCCATTCGGTTTTTCTGACAGGCTTATGATTTCTGAAAACTGACCTTCATGTTTTTGAAAATTAGAATAACTACAGTACTTTCACATGAAATAGCACTTACATAAAGGGAGGTGTGGTGAATAGACAAATGTATATGTATAGAGAGAAAACTGACAACAACTGTTTTTATAGCAGGCTCTCAGGAGTGTGAGGTATTAGAATTATAGTATTTAAGCTGAGAGGTGGTGGCACACACTTTTAATCACAGCAGTTCAGAGGCAGAGACAGGTGGATCTCTGAGTTTGAGGCCAGCCTGGTCTACAAAGTGAGTTCCAGGACAGCTAGAAGTACACAGAAACCCTGTCTTGAAAAACAAAAAAAAGAAAAGAAAAAGAATTACATTATTTAACCAGACTATCTCTCTTGCTTTTTTCTCATTTTAAGACTTTGTGAATTAATTTGTTCTTTAAGAGTGAAGTGTGGGGCCTGTGAATATAGTTCAATGGTACAATGCTCAGCTAATATGTTAAAGGACCTGGGCTTGATCATCATTACTGGAGGAAAAATGAATTATTAGAGTGTATATGTAAATATATGTACCAGACATTTTCATTTCGACCACTCAGAAAAGCAATAAGAATGGCATTACTATAGAGTTAAATTGTTGACACCAAAAAAGAACCGTTTCTCTTTTGCAGAGTCACTTTATTATATGTGCATGTGTGTGGGCCTGAATGTGTACAGTGTCCATAGAAGAGGGCGTCAGATCCCCAGAACTAGAATTACAGACAGGTGTGAACCACTCACTGTGAGTGCTGTGAACTAAATCTGTGTCCCTTGCAAGAATAGCAAGTGCTCAACACACGCCTTTAATCCCTGCACTCAGGAGGCAGAGGCAGGTGATCTCTGTGAGTTGAGGCAGCCTGGTCTACAGAGCAAGTTCCAGGACAACCAAGACTATACAGAGAAACCCAATCTCGGAAAAAAAAAGAAGAAAAGGAAAGCAAGTGTTCTCAACCACTGAGCCATTGTTTCAGTCCCAGAAAGAATCTTTTCAATCAACAGGCTTAATTAACTTCATTTTACCAACAGAAAAAACAGAGGCAAACTGTCTTACATTAGAGCCAAACTGTAGTCTCAGTTCTGGTCTCCAATTTCTTATCAGGAGTGGGATTCGAAATCAGGAGTGGGATTCGAACCCACACCTCCAGGGGAGACTGTGACCTTACACCTTATTGTTTGTGTATGTAAGGAGAAAGAGCTTCCTTGTTTAACTTAAAAAGCTGCAGAAGATAATGGCCTTATCATTTTGATTTGAACTACAAGCAGACTTAAAAGCAACTTGAAATAACAAGATGACTGGTAACAAAGATTATTAATCACAAGAGTCTCAACAAAGACAATCCTACAAGCAAATACCATCACTGTTCAGTTCTGACAAACATTAAAATCAGCACCACCTTTCTTTGCAAGTTCTACCTGAAATAGAAAGCATGCCCCATTGTTCACCCAAACCCAAAGCATCACAGCAAAACTGAAAACCATTGTCTATTGTACATACAAACACCAAATCATTAATAAAATACTAGCAAACTGAATCTAACAATATATAAGAAGGATTGTAAACCTTATCAAGTAACTTAACTCAAGAACTCAAGGTTGGTTTAATGTCCAAAAATCAATTAGGCTTATGTGCAGTTAAGTTTCACTTTTCACAGTAGTTATGCTCTAGAAAGTCACTGTACACACCAACTTAGATTTGATTTTACAAAGATGAAGATGAGGTTCAGAAGTATTCAGTGAGGCTGCCACACTAAGGTTAAGGTATGGTAGTTGGAATTCACTTCCTGTCCAACTTGCTCCATAGCATAACATACTGACCTGTCTTCCACCCCCATGCTTTATCAACTAAGAGCTAAAGTAAAAAGGTAGAGCATTGCCTTAATCGACCTCAGCTGGAATCATGAGTGCTAGATAACTCTTAAGTTTTCACTGGTCTGCATACATCTGCACAGGACCACATTACTTCCACAGGTGTTGATTTGGGCGATGGGTCTAGCAAATCAGTGAGGTCACAAATACCTGATCATATGTGAGTGTCCATCTGATAAGTTGAAAAAAGTCAATAAAATCTAACATCCTTTTGTGATAAGAAACTGAGCATAAAGGAGGCCTTCTTCAACATGAAAAAATAAAGGTAATAGATTGAACAGTGAATTCTTCCTTTAAGAGCAGGACTAAAGCCGGGTTCTGATAATTCCTATAATTCTATCTGTCAGGAGGTTGAGGCAGGGTTATTGCAAAGTTGGATACATAGTTGAATACTTTGAAATACATAGTACCAAACCAGACAGAAATATATAAGGAGTCTTTGTTGCCCCCCAAAAAGGAAAAGAAAATAAGTAAAATATCATAAGGTTGTTCACTCACAGTTCTGTTCAGTGTTGTCCTTGAATTTCTAACCAGGGCTTGAAAAATGAAATTCATGTGTATTGGAAAATCAGCAAGGCCATAGGTTGAATGCCAGCAGCTTTCCTTGGCAGACATTGCATGGTGCTGGCATTTCTGACATCTTAAGGTCTCACACCTTCACGTCCTATGCAGTTCCGTTGCTGTGATTAACCACCATAACCAAAAGGAAAGGATTTATTTCAGCTTACAACTCTCAGGTTATACTCCATCACAGGGCAGTCACTGATGCAGAGGCCATGGAGCAGTGCTGCTTGCTGGCTTCTCTCCATGGCTTGCTCAGCCTTCCTTTGTAGAGCAACTGGGACCACAGCCCTGTGGTGGCACTGCCCGCAGTGTACTGGGCCCTCCCATATTAATCATCAAGAAAATGCACCACAGGGCCTATAGGCCAATCTGATGGGAGCATTTTCTCAATTGGGGTTCCTCTTCCAAAATGACTAGTTTGTGCCAAGCTAACAGAACACCAGCCAGCATATGGACATTTCCCTCTTCATCTTAAAAGTGTGTGTGACCTTTCAAGTCTTTGACTTGAGCATGAAGCAGCCAGGTAGCCTTGACAGTAAGTCACAGATTCTTGTCAAGTTCAAAGTCACATAGCTAGAGAGCTTAGGTAATTGATACCTACATGCACACAATTTTAACATGAGAATGAAATCTGAGTATCTGTTATTTTTGTGGGTTTTTCTTAAACAGCCTGATAAATTGTAAGTTGTTTCCTGGTATTTGAACTTCCTCTGATTGGCATGTTGTCATTGCTTTTACCTGCCAGCTGGTAGCAAACAGAAGATCAGGGTTTGACTCCCAAGTACCCACATGGCAGCTCACAACCCTCTGCAATCCAGTTCCGAAGAATCAAATGGTAACACGAGACACATATGGGTACTCAATGTGGGTTCACACAGGCATGCAGGCAAACACCCACACACATAAAATTAATTTCAGAATTTATATATTCCACTGTATATTTAGCCCCATTTCTCAAACTAACCCCAAGATTTTAATTCATATTTTAATATTGTAAGTTCTATCCAGAGCTGACTAAAGAATATTTTTTAAATTTTTACATCCACAACTACATGATGTATTTCTCATATTGACAAACTGTTGATACAAAAAATGCACCTACAGCATGGGGATGATGTGTAAGTGCTGTCTTTTCCAACACGGTAGCAGTGAAAATACTTGAATGCCCCAGACAAGAAGTTTGGCTTCACTAATGAAGGCTTCATTTCTCATGGGTAATGACTGCTCTCCTCTCTCAAGTCGTGGGTGAAAGGCTAACATCAGAGGGCCTAAAGTACTTCATAGACTTGGCAGAACTGTAAAGTGCCACTGTTTTAGCTGAGTGGTGTGGCTCATACCTACAATCCAGCATTCAGACTGAAACAGGATTGCCACAAGTAGGAGGCCAGCCTGAGCTATACTGTTGAGTTTCAGAAGCCTGTGCTAAATAGAGTGAGATTCATCTCAAAACTAAAAACTACCAGTCTTTCCAAAAGTGTCAGATTTTATGTTCTCAAAACCATTTATCCAGGTAGGGTATTATTTGTTATTAAAGTCTGTAAAGTATTTTCATAAGATTGGCAATGTACATGGAAAATAAGTTGCACAGTCTGAAGAGAAGGCTCAGAGCCAGTTCAATTCCCAGCACCCACAGGTTGACTCACAACTGCCTAGAACTCCAGTTCCACAGGATCCAGTGTCCTTTTCTGGCCTCCAAAGGCACTAGGCGTGCACAGACATACATGCATGCAAAACACCCATACATGGAAATTTTAAGTAAGCCACACATAGGGATGCATGCCTTTAATTCCAGCATTCAGGAGGCAGAGGAAGATGCATCTCTTAGTCTGAGGCCAACCTGTTCTACATAGAGAGTTCCAGAACAGCCAGGGCTAGACAGAGAAACGTCTCACAAAAAGTCAATGAAATTAATTAATTAAATAAGTTACGATTGAATTTTACTCACTCCAAAAATCACTTTGTATAAACAAAAATGCAGATTTAACATGTCCAATTATTAACATATAAAATATTCTGTGTACCAACCCAGAACAGCATAACAGTTTTATCTGCATTGTTTTCTAATGTGTATATACTGAACAACTGTTATATAACTTTAAAGTATAGATAAATGCAATTATATAGATGCCTAGTTTTGATAAATTTCTTCTGAGGACACATTTTTTATCTTCCATAAACACTCAAATATGAGTACTGGTGCGGCATGCATATTTTCATGTCATGAATTACAGAGGTGTTTGTTTCTGATTCATGTTACCATATGGGTAAAGTTGGGCTGGGGGTTTAGCTCAATCGGGGTGGGTACTTGCTAGCACCCCCAAAGCCCTGGGTCTGATCCGCAGCACCACCAAACCAAAGTAAATCTGGTCCTGCCTACACACCTTTTTTTTTTCAATCTACACACCTTTTTTTTTCAATCAGGTTTGAGCATGGCAGATAACAACATTGTAAATAGTAAAAATAACAAGTGTGTATTCTCCATTAAGGCGCTAAGCTTGAGAACAATAGATAGCACTACTTTCTGTGTGCTGAGATGAGCATTTTCTATTCAGTCTCATTTAACCTTCAGCGGGCTTGTAATTCTAGATGTAGGAACTGATTGTTGGGCTAACTTGAGATGTTCTATACCTCGGATGACTCAAACCTAGACCACAGTGCTGTTCCTGCTGTTACAAAATGATGGGGAAGGTATTGCAGTGACTGTAAATCAATGCAAAAGCTGTGTTACATCAGGTAGTCTAGATGATGGAGGAGAAAATAAAGATTTTTTTATGTCTAAGAGACAAAAGAAAAACCCTTTGAAGTCTGCAAGAAATTGTCGTCTTTTGACAGTAGAAGAAACAGTATCTTTAATTAGGAGATCTCACGTGCTAGGTCTTTGTGTTCTTTAACCACAACAGGAAAAGGCTGCAGATAACTTTTTTCTTTTTGGGGGGGGTTGATTTTTTGAGAAAGGAGCTCTCTAGCCCTGGCTGTCCTGGAGCTCCCTATGCAGACCAGGCTGACCTCAAACTCACAGAAATCCATCTACCTCTACCTCCCAAGTGCTGGGTGGGATTAAAGGCTTGCACTACCATCCCCAGCTTTGTGAACACATTTTAACAGTGTCTCAATATTCAGTCTTCAATGAAAATTCTCTTTCACTCTCTTGTGTGTGCATGCGCACATGCCCATGTATGTGTTGTGTACATATATGTGTGTCTGTGTGAGCCAGAAGTTGGTGCTGGTATCCTCAATCCCACTCTGCTTTACTTTGTGTGTGTGAGTGTGTGTGTGTGTGTGTGTGTGTGTGTGTGTGTGTGTGTGTATAAATATAGGTGTCCTCCCAGACCAGAATAGAGTATTAGATCCCCTGGAGCTAGAGTTGAATCCATTTTTGAGCCACCCAACAACACTAGGAATTGAACTTGGGTCTGCTGCAAGAATATTACATGCTCTTAACTACTAAGTCATCTCTCCAGCCCCTACTTACAGACAGTATCTCTTATTAAAACTAGGGTTCACCAATTCAGCAAGATTAACTGACAAGCGATCCCTGAGAATTCACCTATCTGCCTACCCAGTACTGGGATTATACCACACCTGGCTTTTTACAAGGGTCTGGGGCATTCAAACTTGATTCCTTATGCTTGTACAGCAAGTGCTTTACAAAGCAAGCCATTACCCCATCCCAAGAAAATTTTTGTTAATATTGAAATGTTCAAAGAAGAAAATAATTTGCCATCTCTCAGGTAAAAACCACATGTCACCTGAAAAATGTCTGTAAGCTAGGTTTGGTGGCACACACCTTTAATCTTGGCATCTGGGAGGCAGAGACAGGCAGATCTCAGTTCCAGGTCAGTCTTGTCTACAAAGTGAGTTCTATGACAGCCAGGGTCACACAGAGAAATCCTGCCTCAAAAGAAAGAAAGGAAGAAAAAGAAAGGAGGAAAGGAGAGAGAGAGAGAGAGAGAGAGAGAGAGAGAGAGAGAGAGAGAGAGAGAGAGAGAGAGAGAGAGAGAGAGAGATCTACAGGATCTACAGGATCTGGCCTAAATTAGTGACGCTGATATGATCTGTTCAGTGAGAAGCCTATTCTGATTAAAAACATCTTAGTTACTTTTCTATTGCTATGAAGAAACACCATGACCAAGGCAACTTAAAGAAGAAAGAGTTTACTGGGGGCTCACAGTTTCTTGTTTTGTTTTGGGATTTTTTTTGTATGTTTTAATAAAGTTTGTAATCCAATGGACACACAAGACTGCACTGAGAAAAAGTTTCATAAATTAATAAGTGTTAGGAAGTCAGGGAGAGGTTCAAGTCATAGGAAGGGGGAGTTGGCCAGGTCTTTTGTACAGGTGCCGTGTGACACTTCCATGTCGAAGGAGCAGTACCCATGCTGTAACGAAGCGCACTTACGCAAATAAGTGACGGCACAAAGTCAGAGTATGAAAATAAGATTTTCTTTGAAAACCCATTTTTGGCACAGATTTTTAAAAAAATGTATGTCAGGGAAATCTGATTTAAGTCAGTATTAAACAATTTTTATATATTATATATTTATATATACATATCCTAAGTTCTGCACATCCAATCAAGAAAGAATTCTTCTGTTCACTTTTACTCAACTAAACTGTACATCTGATGAGTTGAAGGTGGTGGCGGTGGCAGGAGAAT